ATATATATATATATATACATATGGGATGTCCGAAAAGTCTGGAATCATAGATGATTTTCAACTTTTCTTAATTTCAAATACGTGCCTGATTATGGAGCTGTCAAAGCACGAGAAGGTCGAGTTAATCCTGCTGTGTGACAGAGGAGATTGGTCTCAACGGAAGGTTGCTGCCGAATTTAATACACGTGTGTACAAAGAGAAGGTCAGGGACACCGAACATCTGAAACAACGAATTCGCGACGAGTGTCGGACCATTGACAATGACACGAATATGCTTCTTAGTGTTGAAAAAGAATATAAATTCTGTCTCCAAACTTGTTTCCAATTACAAAGAACACATTCTACTAAATTCGTTGAAGTGCCTGTGGTTTCAGACTTTTCGGATACCCTAATAACAGCTAAAGCCAAAACGTGATAACAAATTTGCTTTAACGGATTCAGCCAGATACTTTCACTGGTAATAATGTTTTAAATCTCTAATCGATTATTTATTTCCGCTTTTTCACGTCTCCATCCATGAAAACCAATTAACCTTTCTTTCCTACACATAAAAAAAAAAAATCTGGTACACGTAACGGCACGAGCTTCAATTTCACCCACTTGAAAAGTGAAAAATTACCGTTAATCATGCGTTACATGTCAGGTTACTCAAGCTTTTAATTAACTGTAGCATATTTGTAACGTTTCAACAAGCGTAGTCATTAAAATATTTGTCTGTTTCGTTTCAGACTCGAAAAGGTTTTCTGTCGCCTCCGCATTCACTGATCTCCAAGTGTTATATATAACTCAAAAAATGGAGATGGAGAAGAATGTGAGGTATTATGTAATTTAATGCTTGCATTACAGATGGAGCAGTCACCATCAGCTTTTTAAAACAATTTTCATAAATTGTTAACGTGTTAAACTCCGTTTGGGACCACGCAGTCCCCACTAAGATACAAGTCACACTAAAAAGTGTAAGCAAACATACCATTAACACAGAAGTTCTTATGAATAACTGAATGAAATTCACTAATTAATACTTGGGACAGTATGCATTTTTCATATAAAATTAAACATTTAACGCTGTTTGTTTTAGATAGCTCTTTACTCTGAATATTACAACAGATAAAAACATAATTATTCAAAGTGATATAATTTTTGAAACCAATTAGTGGTAAACGATATTAAAAAGTCAGTAAGTTGAGTGTGTTGCATCGGGCTATCTGTTGTGTCCACCGAAGGGGATCGAATCCCTGATTTTAGCGTTGTAAATCTGTAGACTTATCACTGCCTCACCGGGGGACAAGAGTGATATCAGTAAACTTTGAACATAAAATAATATGCCGAAGATTACTCGAGTATCAAAAACAGTCACCCCATATAATTATTTTAATGTCAACAAATGTCTTAAATAAGTGATGTTTCTTTGAAATAATATCAGTTTACGCTAAAGTTAAGTACGACAAAAACTATACCGAAAAATGGGGTCCTTTATCTAATTCATTACATAGATAATCTATGAATTTCTGTAGTTCCAGATTTTTATCACCAGAGGTCGAATTTTCATGAAACGAATAAACTTTGCGAATTTGTTTGCACATTTGTGATTTACTAACTCTTTAAGTATTTCTCGTACAAAGGTGGACATTGAGACATTGATGGCTTATTACTTATAAACAAGCGAACAAAGCACACTTGCTCATAAACAATTGCATATTTAGATTTTGAATCTACTCCAAATGTATTTCCACAGCACTTCTTCACTAGAGAGAAAATTCATATCCAGTATTAGTGTTTTAGTAATTGATTCTTGAGCTATTATTAATCTTTTTATTCAGTGCCAGTAATAAAAGTCTTAAATATTACTGGTCAGACGAAGCAACATACGTCTGTATCTCCCAAGAAAACTCTAAGACTCCTACGTGTCTGTTTCATTATATCCACGTGTTGATAACTGAGCATGCGTGTCCCGAATACATGCTGTCAAGTGCACGTTTGACATTTCTTACGAATCGTACTCCTTGTCTCTGTAAGTAATCAGGCTTCAGGAATTAATTTCCATCATAATAAGAGGTGTTACAACATAGAAAATATAATATTATTATTTCGCCTCACTGAATGCGAAAGTCGGTTTTCTGCGAGTAATCCGTTAACTAAATGGATACTGTATCAATTCATTTTTATCGTTTATTTTATTTTGCAGAGAAAACACCATATAACATTCATACAACGGAACTGACTAACGGTTGATTAAGGTTTCTTATCTATTAATGATTGCTTCATATAGATAAATGTTCAGTAAATATAAGTGTGTGAGTGATAAACGTTTGCAGGTTCTAACTTTCCGGAGAAGTACTTCATCCAAAGAACACAGTCGGTTTTGAAAATTGCTTAAAACCAATTGTACTTGTTCTTTATAATTTTACGATTCAAGAATTAGGAAAATATTAATGTATAATAGAGAAAAAAGAAACAAGAACATTAAAAACGAAGATAATTTTATTAAAATATAATTTGTAAAACAATTTAAGCGAGAAACAAGATAGAAATAAATTTATTCACTTTTCAGATTAATAACTCTCAATAATAATATAAAAAATATCTTTGCTCTTCTGGAACTTAATCTAAAAATATTTTTACCTCAAAATTTATGCGTTAACCTATCAGAAAGTGTCAAGGCTGTGACATTTACAAAGTAGCCTGTGGTAAATTTGTCTAAGTGAACCAAAAATAGTTTTAATATTATTATCAAATTGTTTTAGGTGTAAATAAGTGTAATAACATTAGTCTGGAAACACAGTTATAGAGTTTTTATTCTGTCGTTCAGAATTTAAATAGGTTCTGTATGATTTTCAAACGAAAAGTAATCGTAATAAAGGTACAGGTTATCGAGAAATTATGTCCTGACGCACGGTTTAGCCTGACGAGTCAATAATTTTGTTTCATAATTTTCTTGTAAGGCTATATAAAGGGCTACCTGGGCATAGCCGTCTATAGCTTTGAAATGAAGGAATAGAGGGAAAACAGCTAGTCAGTAGTATCCATCCGAAAGAATAGTGAGAATTGACAGTTACTTTTAATACACGCCCACACCCTCAAAATGCGGAGAGCGCTTTTTCGGCAACGAGACGCGAACCGTGAATTGTAGGATTTGCACGGCTCCACTTCTTTTTTCTGAAGTAGCATGTATTGTTTGTTTGTTTGTTTTAAAATTTTTGCGTAAAGCTATGCACGGGCTATCTTCACATAGCCATCTTTAATTTTGAAATGATAGAGTGATCCAAGGGGACGGATAGTGTGACTAGCAACTCACTCAAGTCGTAACAAAGGATAAACAGCGGACTAAAATATCGCTCCCTGTCATATCCATAGGTTATGGAATCCATCAGATCGTATGTTTTAAAACGTTTCCCGGGAACGCACGTCCCAGACCGCATCAAGTAGCTAATCCCACCACTAAATAGAAATCCTAGATCAACCCTTGTAGAGTGAAGGCAGTTGGCTATATCGATAGCACCTACGACCAGTTCTTGGGCTACTCGTGTCTAACCGAATAGTGGGATTTCACCGTCATTCTTATGAGAAATAATTCGGTTTGAACATTGTAATAACTTCATATATACTGTCACCATGAGTACGGATTAAGCTCGTTGCGGTATCTAAAATCGTGTATAGAATAATTAATTAATTCCTGTCACCATGAGTACGGATTAAGCTCGTTGCGGT